ACAAGCCCAATCTTTCCTTGCACTGCATATCACATTTAATGCTAGGGGATTCTCTGGGGCTTGACCTTGGTGCCATGAGAAAGAAGTGTGTGAATGCTTCAGAATCAGATGTCTCATGGTAGTTGGGTATATGGAGAAGCAAAAAATGTAAACATTTTTTGAGGAATGCTACATGTTGCCACAAAGTGGAGCTGAAATAAAAGGACATATACATACAACAACAGCATGAAATTCATTCAGCCAAGCCAACAGAAACCAGCAAAATGCTATGTCAGCATTGACCCTTTGATATCACAGTAAACTGCAAGGTTATATCCTGCATCTTCAGTATTGGAAAGCAAAAGGGAGGTCATTACAAAACTTAACTAAAATGTTCCCATAAAAAGAAAAAAAAAAAGATAAATTAGAGAAATAAGCATTAAAAAAATACATTTCACCACTCTTATGAAAACTGAAACCTGAATGCTGATCCACTGGGACAGTCATACTTAATTACACAGAGATCCTTTACAATACCTTGGTAATATGATGGTTGGTGGAAATGAGCAGGATTCTATCTGCAACACTGCATTTGGGCATATTTCCCAAAGAGTGTTTTAAAGTAACTGTTAAGAAGTATTGATACACACTCTTCACTCCATTAGGGGCATAGTTTGACTAGCTGAAAAGCATTCTTCAATGTTACTGTTGTTACCTTAGGGGAGAACTTGTACAAAATCTGCCCACAGACCACACCTGAATGCCAATGAATCCACAGCCTGAAAGCTTTAGGAAAGCCAAAATGAAAGCAGGTGCTATTCGAACAGTACTGTTCTCTTCTTCATTCATTGAGGATGTGTGTAGCTTGGAAATGGAGAAAGCTTAATAATAACAAAAAGTAAAAAGCTACTTAAGACAGTGTTGCTGAAGCGGGAAAGCAGTTCCCGGAAAACAAAACAAAATGAAACAGGATCATCTCGAATAGTCTCTTAAATTCACCCCTGAATGCACAAAGCAGGCATCAGATTGCCATATTCAGATCAATATTTGAACCAAGGGCATTTGTAAGTTCACAGACATATTTCAAAACAAATAAGCAGGTTAGAAAGTCTACATTATGTTTATATAAGCAAGCATCTTTATATATAAATATTTTGGTGATAAGGCAGCATCTTGGGTCCTGAGATAAATGCTAGATAGGGAGTAATTGTTCACTGTAAGACTGAGGGCCACCATCATCTTAAACAGCCACTGCAGGTTCAAAATCTGTTCAACTTAGGCCACAGACCCTACCAGCCTCCCTGTGAGAAAGCAAAATGCTCAGGGCTTCAACATTTTTCTATTTGCATTTATGTTACAAATGGTAAGTTTGCTATGGTGCAGAACCATTCTAAACAGTACACTTTGTGTATGATCAGCTTACGTCTGCAACTCACACAGTTTTAGTTTAAAAACACTAACCCACACTATGAACATGGAGTCTAACAAAGTTGCCTTTGCTTATATAGGAAGGTAATTCCTCTTGGTTTTAGGAGTGTAAACTTTGGCACTCTTAAAACATTTACCATCTATAAAAGAAAAGCTTAGAGCAGACCGAAGTACATCTTCAGCTTAATAGCACAAAACAACACAACTGTTTATGAGCCCAACAGTGACCTCTAGGAGTGCTGAGATGTATAGCTGGAGAGCAATGGGACCTGCCAGTTTCAGAACAATATTCCTTTCATCTCAGGATAAAACTGACAGTGCAACAAAAATCAGCTGGTTGAGTTGATGGTTTATCTCTCTCTCCATTACTGGGGTCATAGTTTTACCAACTCTTTTGCAGGGTTAGCTGGCAGAATCACTGAAAGGTGCCATCTTGCCCTGTTGCTCATCTCACTACTTTTCCCATTCATGCCTTTGCCATTGGGTTCATCCTTGCAGGCATGCGGTGAACTCAGCTGTGAAGCTGACAAGAAGCAAAGCTCAACTATCCCCCTGCCCACATTAGCTCATAATCACATCAGTACCTGGATCCACATCACTTCATGGCTGCAATGACACTTGTGCTGGCGTGAGAGAGAGGAAAAGTGAAAACAGAAACAATAGCAATGACTTTTTACAGCAACACCAGCTCACCTCACTGAGTCTATGAAACTATGGCATGATCATCCACTGCTCAGTCACGTACCACTCCTTACAATGTCTGCAATAAGCACCAAGCTACAGCTACCTTTGTCTAAAACTTGTTTACAGTTTCTGAAATCAAACATAATGTGATTGTGGCAGCTGTTTTGTAGCAATCTACCACTGACTAAGAAGCATCTGTTCTATAGTTCACAACACTACACTGGGGAAGAAATGCTGCTTCTAGCCATGTTTCAGGTCTTGATTTTCTTCTTGTGTAACAGCAGGTTTGAGAGAAGGTATTTCAGATGATCCAGCCCTTGTTACCCAGCCCTACCCACACTGGGCAAACACATCTGCATTTCCTAGAGTGATTTACAGAGTATGTCCGGGGGAAATCAACATTCTCTGCCTACCATTACACAAAGGCCACCACATAGATCTTCATAACAGGAGAATGTGCAGCTCCAGTTAGAGACAGACTTTGGGTCTAATAGGACCGAACATCTGATCCTGACTCACCTTGTAAACATGAAACAAGTCAAAGTGAATAGCAGATGAAAGTAAAATACACCTTAAATGTGTAAAAAGAAAAGACAAAAAGCCGGATGAGAGCACAGGCAACATCCCAAAACCTTAGTTCAATTATGCAATATGATTTCTAGATATTTTTGTACAGAATGTCTGTCAAAAAGCATTCAGCTACACAATTCAGAAATGTGCTAATGGCATGCATTTCTCTAAAAGCAGTAATTTTAAAGCTGCTTTTCCTGAGTGCCTGCTACAGACAAACAGCTCATTTCTGACAGAGAAGAAAGGGAGAAGAAGAAAAAGAGAGAAAGAGGAAAGCAGAGATTTTTTTAATATCGAAAAAACTCTGTGGGAGCACTACCAGTCTTCAAACACAGCCTAAAGACTGCATGGCCAGACTGACACAGTCAATCTAATTCCCTTGTGCTAACAGACCTGAAAAGTGATCCTCATCAGAAAAAAATCAACCATTGACATAAATTAGGTGGAATCTGCTTTAGCACTGCCTCATGTGCCCAACAGCATACCCTGCATATCATGATAGATGAGGGAGAAGTAAGGCAAAGGTTTAATTGTCAGCTATCATAAACAAATTATCAGATTTGCTACAGACTGGACCACAGAACCAAAAATCTATTAACATTTGCCCACATACCCTCTTACAGCTCTGGAACATGCACAGCCTTGAGCAACCTTCATGTTTGCTATTATCTGTAAACAGTCCCATTGTCAGAAAGCCGCAAAATTTTAACTTTCATATTCAACCACGTCGTATCCTATCTCTTCAGAAATTTCACTGGGGCAACTACTATAGCAAAGGTACAGCAGTTCACTGATGAAATCAAGAGTTTGTGTCAGGTAATAAGAAGCAAAAAGTAATTCCCTGTGCCTTTGATTCAAAGGAAAGTAGCTGTGAGGGGTTCAAGATGGTAGTATTTCCCCTCCCTACTATATTCTAATACTGTATGGTTGGTTCTGATGCAGGTAACTCAGACTGCCCTTTAAGCTGGGCACGTGGAATTTGCCAATGTAAAATTGAATTTACAGCGTATTTGCTCTTTCCTTTATTAGCCCATAAAGAGGTAAAGTCGTTACAGTTTCTGGATTCTTCCTTTGCAGACAGTCTTGTTACTTGAGTTCTCTCCAAGTGCTAAGAATTCTCTCTCTCTCCCTTCCTATTTCTCACCATCCTCCTTGGGAAACCCACTGCCGGCTAGAGGAGACATTGACTGAGTAGGCTTTTGCTGAGCATCTGCTACCACACTGCCTCACTACCTTCTGAAACTGTACTTTCTAGTATTCATTAACGACACAGCACAGATGACTTGTCAAGTTAAACATCCTTCCTGTGCAGTAACAGCACACCATAAAGCCCCTGCCCTGTAACTTAAATGAACATAAAAGGATGTATACACACACACCCCACACAAAAAAGAAGACTAGCCATGCCTAAAAGCTTAAGTATTTCTGGTAGATTTTCTATCACCTAGCTGCTGCAGTGCTCCATTTTCTAGAGATATATAAAGGTCTGTATATAAAACTCAGTGCTCTGAGCAAGCTGCTTCTCCAAGGCACTGCTCTGCCTCGCCTTCTGAGATTCAAGGAACCTCCATTTTTTAGTCTCTTACCCTGATACACTCTTACACCAGTGGCAGCATCTCTCCTTGAAATCTAAATGCTCAGCATATTCGCAAGAGCTTAAAGGTGCCTTTCATGCTACTTGGGTAGAACTCCCCTCAAAATGCTTTGATGCAAATTCTGCCCTCAGGGACAAAGCCATGGAAGGTATTGTCCCTGCTTTGAAGTCAGTCAGTGCCTTACTATAACAAGGTGTCTCCTGAGGATGGATAGTCATAGACCCTGCTGGCCTAGGAAATGAAGTCTAGTTTTTTTCAGGTGTCAGAGCAAAGCACAATCATTAACACAAGCACATGGAGCCAAGTTCTCTCTTTCAGATAAACAAGCCTAAATGACAATTCACGGAGCTCAGAAATGCTTCTCCAAAACCTCAAAAAGGCCAGAAACTAAAACCAGCCTTTTTTTTTTTTTTTTGCATTCCACAGGACTACGCTATTTCATGAACTTCCAAAGTGAGGAATCTACAGAAAGTAAAAGCAGTACAGGAGGAAAGTCCGTTAGCTGGATGAGAGCACTTTACCCCCACAAAGGAAAACCTACGTGCACAGCACCATTACTTACAGATTCCTGCATGGGGTGACTGAGGGGTTTGTCAAGAGCTGCCATGCTGCTTGGCATGTCTGGGGGATGTGACAGCTGTGGCCCATGCATGAAGTCATTCATAGACGTGCCACCGGGATTCCCGTGTGGGAAGTCAAAATTGCCATGACCTTGGTAACTGTTGCCTAAAAGAGAAACAGATGTGATATGTAAGAAACTATTTGTTACCCAACATTGATCTCCCATAGTATTTTGTAAGAGCTGTACAGCACGGCATCCTGCCTGAACAGCTCAGCACAAGGCAACTGCAACACTGAATATGATAACACTGTGCTCCCCACTGCTGGAATGAGCTGGAGGAATGGGGAGGGAAAAATGGCACTCAGCTTTCGTGTATATGTTGCAGCTAATTGAAAACTGATGACATTTTGAAAAACTACTGTCAAGTCCCCACATAAATTTAACCATGTTGAGAAGTGAAAGGGGTATTAAATGCCATGGAATATTTGCATCTGGAAGCATCCTGGCGTAACTGAAACTGACTGACCAAGTCCAAAATCAGTACAGAGGACACCTGTGTTAGTCTATGCTTCTACACACTCAGTAAGATTGTAGCATTGCTTCATTTTTTGATGAAGCTAATTGACAGAACTGTATCAAGAAGATGCTACAGTATCAGTTCACCTGTTTTACCTCTTCTGTGGTTTAAACAGGCAACTTCCACTAAGATAGAGAAGCAGAGGCCTTCATGTCCAGCTGGAGTTTGTGATGTAGTTCTCCTTGCTTCCCACAGAACCTAGTAAAATTCACTTGACTGTCTGCAAATATAACATCAATTTTCCACTCTTGGATTTCTTAGTCTTGTTTTCAGTTACAAACTGGATGCCTGTAGCCTGTGTTTCATCATGTGGATATGCACACTCGTAATGAAAAACTGACTATGAAATCCACCTATCTTCAGCCTGAAACAATGTTCTTCAAAGCATCAAACTTTCACACAAGTTGATAATAAACGATCTGGATTTACCCCCAGACATCTACTATATAGCAACAAGGCTGGAGTTCCTTGTGGACCCTCAGGACAAATATTGTATGACCATCAATGGTATGTTTTGATCTATCCCACCTCAGCCCAGTTATCTTCACTTGAATGCCAAAGACAGCACCTATCCCAGTACAGAAATTTTACTCTCCTATTTTTTTCTGTCCAGATCCCTATGCTAACACTTCCAACTGAGATACCAACTCTGGTGGCTTATTTGCTATGAAGAGCAAAAATTGAACTAAACCCAATCAGCTGTTTCATCTAAGCAACTGAATTGGATGGTACTGAGCTCTAAAAAAACAAGAGTAACTCTGGAGCTTGCATGGAGAGCCTACAGTTTGTCAGCTGAAGTACAGCAGCTTTAAGTCAAGGCAGAAGTTTGACAAACTGAAGAAGCTGCATCATTTGCTCTTTAGCACAGCTTCACAAGCTGAAGTTTAATCTCAGAGGAATAGAAGTCATTAGCCATGTAAGAGTATTTCTCAAAGAAGTCAGGACTTTGATCTATCATGTAACTACTGCAGAGCTTTACTAGTTTTCATTTTGTTAATCTGCAAACTGGATGAGTCTTGCAGAATACAGCTGGTCTTGCCTTGCTTCTCAGAAATGATTTAATAGCAGGGAGCTGGAATAAGGCCTTGTATTAGTGAGTACTTGTTATATTTGGAAATTAAACTTCAGTATGCTTACTGTCAAATGCAAACAAACAAATGTAAACTACAGTAGTAATACTACTACTGATTCGCTCTAGAGTACTGTTGATCCAAGGACATTACCTAATTCTAAACGCGACATTTCACTGTGCACATTGATGGAGAATGCAGATGCAAGGCAGTGTGCCCAGGGAGCTACAGCCATGCAGCAGTATGCCCTTCTCTGCAGGCAGAGTTGTGTCACATGCTGAGGGACAGACCTATAAGGACATTTAGGATAATCTGGTGCTCTGCATTGGTATGGCTGTTGCAGGGGAAATAGAAAAGCGTGGGTTTCACCTGCCACCGATGAGTCAGGCCTCTGAGAAGCAATGACTACCTCTGCTACAGGATCCACGGGGAAGGCAGGAAAATACCAGTCTAGGCAGCAATTGTTACACAAACCCTAAACCTCATTTTACATAACTACCCTGTCTGTTCCCAATTATAAAGTAGAAAGATGACGAAGAATAGATGGCTGTTTTCATGCTCTGACTGCACTTCACTCCTACTAAATGAGTGAAATATTTGTGATTCAGTGCTCTTGGCTTTGTTATAGTAATCATTCATCTGCTTGAACACCTGAGAAGTTTTATCGTCTGTCATCAGTTTTGCAGTCATTGGAGCAAATTAACCATATTTTGCATGCAATCTGTATCTTCCTTCAAATGCCTGCAAAACCACATATATCACCTTGTAATCAATTTGGGGATTCTGATGGTGTGAACAGTTTGGTCTTCCCAGAGTTGAATTGAGTCATATCATATTACTTGCACCAAAAAAACCCTAACAGTCTCTGGTTTCATATTTTCAGAACTGTCGCTATAATTGAGTTTTTCACAATATACCAATCATTTGAAAATGTATCTCTGCTGCCTGTATTTAATTCTCTGTTTCTTAATCTGGCGGCACATGGGTAGAGGAACTCAAAAGTAATTTTCTAATGCAAAGGTATTTGCAAAACAGTTAAAAGCTCTTTAGAAATCATTCCCTTTCTAGTTAGCCTACCAAATGTCACCCACCTGGCCACAAGTTAAACTCAGTGTCCCAGGCATCAGAGTTAATTAATGGGTCAGGTTCTCTACTTTGTAACTTCTGTAGCATTGGGAGCCTTCACTTGAATGAGAGTGCAACAACAGGAAAATGGACAGAAAAAATTAGGAAATATGTACATTGTGGCAGGCCATGAATATATAAGGTAACATACAATGTTTGTTGATTCAGGGAGGGCTGCATGGCAATAAATATGACAAGCACCTATTTCCTTACTAAAATATATTTCCCTCTAAACAGATGAATCTTAAATGAAGAGACTGATGCAGAACTTCAGAACTGCAGCTATAGAAGTTCCTGTCCTTATGCACGTCTCTGAGAAGATGCACTGACATATCTGAATAACAAAGCTGACTGAACCACTGACTTCTACGGTGACCACCTGTGTGCACAAAGGTATAAAACTAACCTTGGTTACCATACTCAGTGGAGTTGTTGCCTCCTGGAGGAGGGGGTAGGGATGGATAAGGTGATGGCCCAGGACCCAAAGCTGCAATCATCTCCATTACATTTGGCATGATCATCTGGCTTGGGCTCATGGTCTTAAATCTTTTTGAGGGAATGCCATCTGGGTCATCTTTGATGTGAATATCTGACTTTATAGGGACCGGCCTCCAACTGCAAGTTGGATCAATGGTAACTTCTTCAAACTCAGAGCTGTAAAATAATGTGAACATTTTAGCACATTTTTATTTTTTTTAATCAATTCTGATAGAGTTTCCGTAAGAATCTACATGGTAACAAATGCTCTGAAATGCTCTAGTATAATACATCCTCAAGATCTTTCACTAATCAAGTGTGCTCCAAAAACAAGTTTTAAAAAAGGCAACTGTGGGAGCACATTTCTGTGTTTATCCACACAACAAAACCCAAACATATCTATGTGATATCATCACATCTATCATCATATCCTGATCTATCATCAGGAGATAACCCAAACCGAATCTATTAAGCAGATGGAAACTGATTGACTGTATCACCAGCTCCACCAAGGACCCATGAAATAGAATATTCAAGTTCAATCTAAGACCTACTTTGGTGTGACTATCTCAGTACTCATTAACATATCTCCTGGTTGCTTTGTTTTGGATATGTGAAAAGATTAAGTTCACTTACTTTTGTATAGCATTCAGAATACCCCACATATACTGGTCAACCTCCAAGCCCTCCAGTAGAGCTGTTTTACTAGAAAGGAAAAAACAAACAAACCTCATGTTACAATATTGCTACACATGCATGAAAGAGGAATGGGAAAAGGATAGATTACTGATGAAATCAGCAGACTGAGATCCACCAACATCTGTAACATATAATTTAGGAATTATTTGGGGCAAACAGTTTTAGTTCTATATCTGCATTACCACCATAATGGTATTCTATATCAAACAGATAAGAACACATCTACTTGCATGTGTCCACACAAGCTGCTCACATGCTTTGAATAATTTTTTTACTGAAATACATTGTTAATTAAAAGGCTTTTCAAACACAGCAGATCTCTCCTGTGAACATCAGCTAGCACTATTCTCTTTTTAAACTGAATTTTTTTTTTGAGCTACACAGTAATATGGCTTCAAAATAACCATGTATTATAGCTATTTTACTTAAGATCAGCACAGATGGAGACAGAAAAAAACAAAACAAGAAATGATTTAGTTACACAGGCACTTAGATCTGAATGCAGGTGCTCATACTCAGAGAAATAGGACAAAAATTTTGGCCTGGATGTATGAATACATAAATTAAGAAGTAAGTCATTTAATTCTTGTGGTATTTTTAGCCAAACATAGAAAGATTCAGGTAGTTCAGAGAAAATACCTGCACTTTAGGGTACATATCAACCATGGATAGTAACTCGAACAAGCTTGCCTTCAGCCTGCAATGCCCACCTAATATTAGCCAGCACAGATGGGACTGAAGTAGAGACTTGTAGAGATGGCTTTAAGTTTCTAATAATCCAGAGTGTTCCCATGATTTATGAAGCATTGCAAGAATTCTCCCTGAACTTTATACTATTAGATAAATGTACTATATACACCTTACTTCTAGCACTTCCTTTTTCTTCTGCCTTGACCTAAAGTATGATCTGACTTTGGTCAAATGGCCTACCAACTGCATTTAATGTAATATGGTTGCACTTACTTGCATACTGGACACCTCCAAGTTCCTCTTTCACAGTTCAGTTGCAAGTAAGATTCCAGATCAAAGCACTAGGTATCAGAAAGAAAGAAGAAAAAAAGAAAAAATAAAACCCAAAGGAAAATACTGTATTAACTGAAACAGTTGGGTCAAAAGTAAAACTGTCATGAAAAAAGCCCTAGGAGGACTGAAAACTAAACCAAAGAGCTTACTTTCTCCCTCTACATTAAATATATGCACAGTTAATTATTTAGCTTGATAAACACAAAGAAATCACATTAGGTGCTCTCTTACAATAGCTTAGCTAAAGGTACTGTAACAACACATGGCTGAGGGAATACTGACATGCCACCGGCATCTACTCACTTGTACATGCTTGCAATCATGACCCCTTGCTGGGAGCTGAATCCGCCGGAATGTGATCGGACACTTCAGAGACACTTTAATAGCAGTTTGCTCTACTCCATCTTCCCCATTTAGTGTCGCATTACCAGAGGAAGCTGCTACACTACTGAAGTTCCTCTTTACTGTTTAGGAAGAAAGTATGTGTATGTGTAAAACACAAGTGTACTGTACATTCTAACACAGAAATCTGAAAGACCAACACTTCAAATGTTAAGGGCCAATGGAGTGGACAATTTATCCACACAAGTGTATTCTGTTTAATTTAGGATAATCTCCTGAAGAGACAAACCATCACACACATGCAAATCAGCTATACCCCCAACCAAATTATGTGCCGTACAAGCACTCAAAGCAGCCTTAAAGAAAGAACAACCTGGGCCTTTTAGGTAAGTTAAAAACAAATATGAGGGAAAGCTGGAGAGATTTTCCTGGAATGGGAAAGTCCTCGTTAGGAACTTAGCTTGTGTCCTTGATACTTTGTTACGCCCACTCAAATAGTCCTCAACGTCTGAGGATACTGAGGATTTAATCTATTCACATGATGTTCTGGAAATTCCCGACAAGTACATCTTAAGGTTTTCAATAAGCAAGTAAATCTTGCACAGAAATAGGTTATCACAACTGAACACAGGCATCCTGGAAAGTCATCATCCACGCAAAATGGAAACTCACTCTTAGTGATACAATGTTCTGCTGGGAGGAGGCGTTTCTTTAGTAGACCTTGAAGTACAGAGCGAACTGATGGCCGGTGTACTAACTGCAACACGAACAAGTGTGACTGAAAGAAAATGCATTTTGTTACCAAGAGAACCAAGTGCACAGAGTAAATACACTGCTGAACAGAGCTGCATTCTTCCCTTGAACACACGGCTTCTGTAAGAGCCTGGTGTTTAAATATGAAAGCTGGATCTGCTCTGCGTGCATACGGGCTCCCTTAGGGATACTCTGCACACTGCATAGCATGTTGTTCCATGCTCCAGGAGCATAGCATATACAAGCGCTCTAACGAAGCAAAGATTTTCTGCATTTTCTCCCTCCTTAATATTAAGAATACAAAGTGCTGACACATTCATCTCTGATATCAGGGGTTATTTTTAAAAATCTGAATTCTTTGACACTGTCTAGCCTCCCTGCCTGCTCTCAGACTATGTTTGAAGTTGCAAAAAATGACTTGCTACTGACGTTTCTGGAACCAGCTGAATCTTCGTCCTCAACACAGATCTCATTGGTGATTCACAGGATGCTGCCTCTGCTCTTAGCCATCAAATAAATGACATTAGGTGGAGAAACATCAGTATGAAGTAAAGCAAAATAGGTGAACGGTTTCTTGTCAAAGTGCCTCACACTGCAACCTTGGGAGAGGTAGCAGCTTGCTTTATTGTCAGTGGCAACAGAACAGTCAAAGGCTCAGACTGTATGTGTGCAACCGTCTG